AAAGAAAGAAAGAAAGAAAGAAAGAAAGAAAGAAAGAAAGAAAGAAAAAGCATTTATTAGGTATTTATTAGGTGCCAAGTACTGTGTGAAGCACTGAGGATACAGACACAAAAGCAAAGAGAGTCCCTGATCTCAAAAACCATATATTCTAAAAAGGGGCAGCGGGGGAAACATCCATGTCTATGTATATATAGTTATATTTCTATATATATCCATATTCATATATACATAGACATACATATTCACCTATGGGAACTGGCACAGCTCAACAGTGCAGCAGATAGAGCTCCAGGCCTGAGTGTCAGAAAGACCCAAGTTCAAATCTGGCCTCAGACACTTACTAGCTATGTGACCTTGGGCAAGTCACTTACCCCTATTTGCCTCAGTTTCCTCATCTGTAAAATGAGTTGGAGAAGTAAATGGCAAACCACTCTAAAATCTCTGCCAAAAAAACCCCAAGTGGGATCATGGAGAGTCAGACACAATTGAATAACAAAATGGGAACGGGTGCCCAAGGAGGATAAATTTGAGACTGAAACTGGGCCTTGAAAGATGACTAGAGTTTGAATAGATAGAAACTGTGGTGAGCTGAGGAAATCACCGGCTCTGGAGTCCGAGGTGCTGAGTTCAAACCTTGCCTCTGATACTCATTGATTTGTGTGACCTTGGACTAGTCACTCTCCCAGCTCTAGGCCTCAGTTTTCTCAAAAATGAGAGAACTGGACTAGATGATCTAAAATCACTTTGAACAGTGGAAAGAGCCTTAAACTGGGATTCAGAGGCCCTGGATTTCAATTCCACTTCTATCCTTTACTACCTGTGTGACTTAGTCTTCCTCAGTTTCCATATCTCTAAAACAAGAGAGTTGAGCAAGATGGATGCTAAAGCTTTCCAGGCCTAAATCTGATGATTTGTCAAGCACCTTCCCTCTCTAAATCCTATGATGCTGAAGACACATAGGAATGAAAAGGAATCATGGTGAGGGATAGGGAATAAAGCTACGGCTTTTGTATTTTTTTAGGGAGTAGTGGGAAAGAAGCTTCTTCAGAAGGCCTGTGACCAGCCCTCAAAAGACTGCTAAAAAATGGTCCTGGGAACATAAGAGCAATCCCAAGTGGGATTTGTTGCTGCCACCACATTCTTCACCACCTTAGAACTATGATATACAAGCCATGGTAGTCCCACAGTCCAATGTTCTCCATCAAAATGAGCATTCCACCCACCCATCCACGCACCCGATCTCAGAGTCTAATTGCGTTAGGTATCGAAGACTCTGAAACTGACTCCCAGTCTGATCATGAGGCCCTTCCAAATGCCCTGTCCTGGAGTTGGAGGTGAAAAAAGAGGAGAGAGAAGAGGTGCCAGCTTTCTTCCAAGCTCAGTTCAAGCAGCAGCTCTCCACCTCCTCCCAGGCCCTTCCTAATCTCCGCCCATTCCTCAACTTCCATCGATTTACTTCCTCGGTACTTTGTATGTATTTAAGTACACGCTGCTTCTTCCCTTGTGACATGTAAGCTCCCAGAGGTCGATGACTGTCTTGCTATGCTCTTTGGGTGTCCGTGGGACACAATACCACTTGGTGGACCCTTAGTAAATGCTCATTTATTGGTCGATTGAAAGAGATAAAGAGAAAGAGAAATGCAGAGACAGACAGATGTACATAACGAGGGACAACCAGAAGAAAGTTGGAAAATTATGAGCAAGAAGGAGAGAAGACAACTGTATAGACAGACACAACAAAAAAGAGAAATGAGATCACAACGGGCTGATTCTGGAGGAAGCTGCCGACCTGTTGCAGGATGGGACCTGAATGCACCAACCCTTAAGATAAGAAGAGGAAATGCTGCAATATTGCTGCCACCCCTGGAAGATGCTCCTGATCGGTCCCCCAGGCCTCAGGTTGGCACGGCTGCCATCCAGGCCCTTTTGAGTGCTCTGGCTCAGCCACATTTCCTGTTTACCAAGAGCCCTGGTTCTCCCCCTCGCTCCAATGACCCATGCCTGCCCCAAGAACGACTTTATTAACATTGATTATTTCAACAAACATTTGCAGAGCAAAGGTCTAATCTGGGCTGGGAGCTATGGTAGAGAAAGAAGATTCAGTCTCTGCCCTCCAGGAGCTCCGAAGCAGGCTGGAGAGACCAAGTCCCTATTTGTGTAAATGCCTCATCTGTTACACAATGCTTCAGCAAGGCTGGAACGTTGTTTCTGCTAAGGGAAAGGGGCTTAGGGGAGACAGTATGCAGGGGTTTGGCATCAAGAATCCCAGGTTTGGGGTAGCTAGGTGACGCAGTGGATAGAGCACTGGCCCTAAAGTCAGGAGGACCTGAGTTCAAATCCAGCCTCAGACCAGACACATAACACTTACTAGCTGTGTGACCCTGGGCAAGTCACTTAACCCCAATTACCTAAAAAAAGAAAAAAAAAATCCCAGGTTCAAGTCCCATCTCTGACCTCTACTAGCTATGTGACTACAGGCGGTGACTTAACCTCTGTGGGCCTCAGCTCCCACATCTATCAAATAGTGAAGATAATCCCCGCAGTGCCTAGAAGAAGCTAAATGGTATAACTAGAATGCTGAACATCTGGAGATCTGACTTCCAGTCCAGCCTCAGACACTTGCTAGCTGTGTGACCCTGAGCAGGTCAATTAATCCTGAAGTCTCAATGTCCTCATCTGTAAAACAGAGGGAGTAATAGCACCTATTTCCCATGATTGTTGTGACAATTAAATGAGATGACCTATGTAAACGTCAGTTGTTAATATAATTACTTTCTCCTACAATAGATGCTAATAGTATAACCTACTGGAGTCTGAGAAATTTTTGGACGTTAAAAAGGGAGTCTTCATATTTAAAAATATTGAGAACCCTAGTATAGTTCAGAGGCACAGCTGGGTGGCACAGTGGATAGAGCACCAGGCCAGGAGTCAGGAGGACCTGAGTTCAAATCTGACCCCAGACACTTACTAGCTGTGTGACCCTGGGCAAGTCGCTTTAACTCTTTTTCCTTCAGTTTCCTCATCTGTAAAATGAGCTGGAGAAGGAAATGGCAAACCACTTCAGTACGTCTGCCAAAAGTGATTGTCTAGGGCTACCTAGTGAATATGGTCCCCCTCCTAGAGGAATTGGCAGCTTTGAGAAAAGCACCCTGGAATGGTTCTCTCCAAACCTGAAAATGCCAGTGGTATAATCTCAGACACTGGAAAGTCACTACTCAGGCACTACTAGTCCATAGGAAAAATATTCTGAAGTTGAGGGGTTATGGGTCCTTCTCCCATCTCACTGTATAAGTATCCGTTTCATTTGATAACATGGAGGGATTGTAGGATTTAGAACTGGAAGGGACCCTAGAAGTCACCTCATCCAACCTATTCATTTTACAGATGAGGAAACTGAGGCCCAGAGGCCCAAGCTCATACTGTAAGTGGCAGAACCAGGATCTGAATCACTCCCTCTGCTCTTTCCACAGACCCAAGTGGCCCCTCCAGACCAAGTCCTGAAATACAGGTTATTTTTCTCAGGAGAGAGGCCCAAAAAGATTCAAGATGCCTGTGATGGATTCCATAATTGTTGAAGTCCCAGCTAGGGACGCTGCAGCAGGCACAGAGTTAATGCCTGCTGCTGCTTCATATTAAATCTCAACCATGACCGAATTTAAAAAAAAAAAAAAGGAAAGAAAGAAAAAGAAAAGAAACAGGACAGGGAGTCCTTTTCAGCTGCCTCTTGCCTCCTATCAGGGGCTTTTTCCAGAGATGACTTTAATTGGTCAAACTATGCGTTTTTCACCACCCGGGCAGAAAATGCATAAACCAGAGTATGAATGATATTTGGCACCGGGAGCCACCCCCTGTCAGTCTCAGGAAGCCTTTCACAGGAAGCTGTGCAAAAGAACACTCTGTTATCTCCTGGGGTGGACATGCACATACAACCGAGCATTCCCTCCTCCCTGTCACTGAGAGCCCATGACCTGGTCAGGCCAGAGCCTGGCTGCCCTCTCCTGGAAGCCCCTGTCACTCAGACCCTCTGTACTCACAATGCATCTAGCCATTGAATCTCTCCTTCATCATTTGAATCTCTCTCAGTTTTAACCCAGTGAGAAAGCTGAGACAACCCCGACTGAGTGGTCCTGACAAACCCCTTCACCTCTCCACGCCTTCAGGCCACTCTCCAGAACCATCAATTGCAGGTCAGGTCCAGTCCAAAAAGATGACAAACAACCACCCTCGGGGATGTCCCTCGTCACTCTGAGTGCATTAACTGGAGGACGTGGAGACTAGGAACATTTGCTGATTAGAGGGGAGTGGAGAGAGAATGGAATAAGAAAAAGAAGCAGAAACAGGAGGGTATGGCAAGGGAATAAAGGCACCACAGCACCGGGGGCATGCTGGTAAATGTTTAACAACTGGCCCTCAAAAAGCAAACAAACCAATGTACAAGAGGAGTTTAATCTGTGTTCCTGTTTTCTCCACCTCTTTCCTAAGTTCGGACATACAGTAAAACAATCATTAGCCCGACTTGCAGCGTTCGCCAATTTCCAACGTGTCAATGCTCACTCTAGAAATTGAACAATTGTTCTGCAGAGCTCCCGGGAGCTGGCTCCAGCAAACCCCTGCAGAGGGTCCACCAACCTCAGGCTGAAGAAAAACTGAGGCAAGCAGAGCATGGGAGGTGTAAGAACCTGAATGAGGCAGGGCAGAAGCAGGCCAGACAGACTTTAGAAAGCACAGGAAAAGTGACTTCCCTTGTACTCTCCATGCACCTGCTCCCGGGTCTCAGGGACTTTCCCTATTGAAGTTGTACATTTGGACTCCCAAATGAGTTCCGTTCTTGCCCTCAGCTACCTTGTAACGAATGTATTTCACATTCCAGAGGCGGATTGGCAGCCTGGGTTGCTAGCAGAACCCGCGAGAAATAAGCTAGCGTCTTACGTTTCCCAGATTCATCTGGATGGGGGCAAACAAGCGACAGAGGTGAGTTTTACTGAGAACTCATAAGATCCAAGCCAAAAGTAGGAAGGCGGGGGTAGGTAAGGGTTTTGACATCTGAAAAGATGGCTAGTTACTCATATCTGATTCTGCCTCTCTCACAGAGTCGCAGCCAGAGTCCTTGACTCCACATGGCCAAAACAACCACCCTACTCCATCAAAAAGTCAATCAGCTGAGTAGGGGAAAAGCACGCTGAGGCATTCGGCTTGGCATTAGGCAAATAAAACTCCAGTCCTGCAGAGCCAACTTTGGAGAACTTTCCATGCGCTATATTTGATTTTCTGTCTCCTCCGGTTGTACACAACTAAATACGCTTGGAATGAATTTAAAAGGCTAACAATGATCTCCAAAACCCATAGTGCTCCCCCGGGGAGGCACTCAGGCAGGAAGCTCAAGGATCAATTAAGATTAATACAGAACCTTCTGGATCAATGGGTTGGGTAGAAGGGACCGAGAGAAAAATCAGAAGAGAGTCTTAGAGACGCCCCTTCTCTCAGGGATGAGACAATCCCATCTCCAAAAAGCTTCTGATCTGACGGGGGGGGATGGGAAGGGGGTGAGAACAAGCCCCAATTCTAATGGGGGAGACAAAACACACTCATTCATTGATTTAAGAGTCCCTCTGCCTCCCGAATGCCCCTCTTCCTCCCTCCTGAATGCCCCTCCTCCTCCAGCTCACTGTGCAGACGTGCTCTCCCTCTTCAGAACCCAAGTCCGCGGGCGCACATCTCTAACCAGTCAATTCTTATCCTTGGCAACCATTCAGCAAATGTTTTGCAGGGGGAGAAGACGATGTATTTGTTTTTTAAATGAGGCTTGGAAATTATCCATGCATTTTATTTATGCAGGCTCCCCCTGCCCGCAATTACCATTAATAATCATGAGCCTACTGCTGCTGAAACGGAATTTCTGGAAATGGGAACATTGGAAAGAATTGCTTATGGATGAGCAATGCTTTGTCACATCTGCTCACCTTTGCTGCCTGTCTTTTGCTAGGAGCTGGGAAAGCATAGGGGCAGCTCTGTATGGATACTCAAAAGAGTGTGTGTTCAGAGGACTCAGAGGGGGTAGGAACTGGTATTCTGTGATCCCTTAATACCAGCCTCCTCAGTATTCTGCACAAAATACACTCCATTTGTCAACTCCAGGCATTTTCTCTGGCTGTCTCCCGTGCCTGAAATGGCCCTCGCTCTTCTCTGCCTCCTGGCTTCCCTGGCTTCCTTTAAGTCCCTGCTAAAACCCCGTCTTCTAGGAGAAGCCTTTCCAGACACCCCTTCATGCTAGTGTCTTCCTGTTAAGGATTTCCTCCAATGAATCCTATCTATATCTTGTTTGTACATAGCACTCATCTTCCCACTAAACTGTGAGCTCCTTGAGGGCAGAAACTGTCTTTTGCCTTTCTTAGTATTCCCAGGACATAGTAGGCTCTTAATAAATATTTATTGAATGATCAGAGAAATCATAGAGACCAACCCCCTTCTTTTAGTGGAAGAGGAAACTGAGCCCAAGAGCAATGAACTTGGAGTCATGTAACCTAAATTTGCATTCCAGATTGGTCACTTACTACCTAGATGACCTTGGGCAAGTCACTGCTGCTGCTGCTGCCGCCACCGCTGCTGCTAATTAATGCTAATGTCAATGCTGCTGCTGCTGCTCAGGTCACATTTCATTGTGAGGACCATTTAAAAGGTGTAGAAGGATTGCAATCAGGGTTGGTGGAGGGAATGAATACACACGTGTATGAAATCACAGATCCTTGAAATAATAAAATCATCATTAATCTTTATATGGAGTCCTAGACTCTCAGGGTTTGCAGGGTACTCAGCTTCAAGAAGACTTCCCTCTGCAACCTCACCTGGGAGGAGTCACCCTGCCTTTGCCTGAATCTCACCTGGGACATAGAGCTGGAGGGAACTTTAGATGTCATAAAATCATAAATGTGAACTGGAAGAATCCTCAGAGGCAGATCTGGTCCAACCCCCTCATTTTACAGATGGGGAAAGTGAGGTCCGAAGAGGGGGAATAGTTTGCCCAAGGTCTCACTAGTAGCAGTATCAGAGATAAGATTTGAACTCAGGTCCAACAACTACATTCAGCAGTGTCTTTGACAGAATTACATTTCCCATTTCAAGGAGTGAGTGTCCTAGACACATCCAAAAAATTGATCACAAAGTGAAAAACTTAGTGAATAAGTGTATTTGGGCTGTATTTGGGGAAAGCCCAAGCCTTTGAGGTGGAATTTCACTGGATTGACTAATTTTTCCCCAGATTTAATGAGCTAATTGTGTATATGGACACGGGCACTATGAGAATAAAATAATCGATTAAATTGGTCATCTGGGATTCTGTAGATAGAGGTCTGTCCTAAATGCAACTGTAGAGTATGTCTTGGGTATCTCTGACCCTCCCTTCCACTGTTTCTTCCACTATCCCAACACCCAAAGCATTCCAAGCCTTCCTGCAGCCCAACGGGTCCCTCCTGTCAGGAAGATGAGTGGCAATATATTGACTCATTATTGTCCTCTCTTGATCAAATCAGATGACATGGCATAGTGGGGAGAGAGCTGGCTTTGGAAGCCAGGAAGACCTGATTCAAGTCCCGTGCCTAACATATACTGACTGTGACTCTGGATAGGTCATGGACTCCAGGCAGCACTCCAAGGTGACTCTCTAAGAAAGTGCCCACCCGAATGGGGAGAGGGAATGTCTTCACCTGGGAGTCCCCTATTCCCAGAACTGCAGGATTGGAAAGGACTTCGGAAATAACCTCATCCAATCCATCCCCAAACTATCTATTGTCTATGACACACTGAACAAATGGTCCCCAGCCTCTGCTCAAAGCTGGTTGCTCAGGTAAAGAAGCCCCAACCATCCCACCTCTAAAGAGCTCTCACTGTTAAAAAGCTTTCCTTTACCTGTAGTCTAAATTTGCCACTTGGCATCTTCTACTCATTATTATTGGTTCAACAGCCTTCCATCAATAAGTATACATGAAGTGCCTGCTATACACCAGGTACTATGCTAGGCTCTGGGGATACAAAGACAAAGCTGAGACTACCCTTGTCCTCAAAGAGTTTATATTCTACTGATGATATATAACCAGGAATGTGCTGGTAAATGTTTAACAACCAGTTCTCCAAGTGGAAAAATGTACATATAACAAACTCTTAAGTTTAATCTACAATGTTAGCATTTTCTCCATCATTTTCTTTTGTCATGTTTCTTTTTTTGCCTTTTAAAAATGTGATATTTAATTTTCCCCCAATTTCATGCAAAAACAATTTTTAACATTTTTTTTTAATTTGAGTTCCAAGTTCCCTTCTTCCCTCATCCCCTCACTCCTTCACTCCCTCACTAAGAAGGCAAGCAATCTGGTAGAGGTTATACATATACAGTCATGTACAATATTTCCATATTAGTCATATTATGAAAGAAATACAGACCAAAAGAAAAAAAAAGAAAAATAAATAAAGTTTTAAAAAGTATGCTTCAATCTGCATTCAGATGCCAGATATACCTTTTTTCTTTTTTCCTTTTTTCTTTTTATTTTTTTTTTATATTTTAAATTTATTTATAGTTTTCAACATTTACTTCCACAAGATTTTGAGTTCCAAATTTTCACGCATCTCGCCCCTCCCCCCACCCCAAGGTGGCATGCATTCTGCAGTCTGCCCAGCCTTCTATCTCTCTCCCCCTTCTCTTATCCCCTTCCCCTTTTATTTTCCTGTAGGGCAGGATAGATTTCCGTACCCCATTTCCTGTATTTCTTATTTCTCAGTTGCATGTGAAAACATTTTTTTAAACATGTGTTTTTAAAACTTTGGGTTCCAAATTTTCTCCCTTCCTCCCTCCCCACCCACCCTCATTGAAAAGGCAAGCAACTCAATATAGGTTATACATACGCAGTGATGCAAAACACTTCCACAGTAGTCATGTTGAGAAAAACTAACTCTCTTTCCCTTAATCCTATCCTGACCCCTCATTTATTCTATTCTTTCTTTTGACCCTGTCCCTCCTCAGAAGCATTTGCTTCTGATTACCCCCTTTCCCAATCTGCCCTCCTCTCTATCATTCCCCTGCTCTCTTGTCCCCTTCTCCCCCTATTTTCCTATAGGGTAAGACAGATTTCCATACCCAATTGAGTGTGTATGTTATTCCCTCCTTAAGTCAAATCCTATCAGAATAAGATTCATTCATTCCCTCTCACCTTCCCCTGTTTCCCCTCCACTGCAAGAGCCTTTTCTTTTCTGTTTTTTGTGAGATAATTTACTCCATTCTACCTCTCCCTTTCTCCTTCTCCCGGTATAATCCTCTCTCACCCCTTAATTTTATTCTCCAGATATGACCCCTTCATCTTCAACTCACCCTGTGCCCTTTATCTATCTATCTATCTATATATATATGTATACACATACATATAATTTTTCCCTCCAACTACCCTAATACTGACAAAGGTCTCATGAGTTATAAATATCATCTTTCCATGCAGGAATGTAAACAGTTCAGCCTTAATAAGTCTCTTATGATTTCTCTTTCCTGTTTACCTCTTCATGTTCCATTTGAGTCTTGTATTTGAAAGCCAAATTTTCTATTCAGCTCTGGTCTTTTCATCAAGAATGCTTGAAAGTCCTCTATTTCACTGAATGACCATTTTTTCCCCTGAAGGATTATGCTCAGTTTTGCTGGGTAGGTGATACTTGGTTGTAATCCTATCTCCTTTGCTCTCTGGAATATTATATTCCATGCCCTGTGGTCCCTTGGTGTAGAAGCTGCTAAATCTTGTGTTATCCTGATTGTGTTTCCACAATACTTGAATTGTTTCTTTCTGGCTGCTCGAAATATTTTCTCCTTGACCTGGGAACTCCTGAATTTGGCTACAATATTCCTAGGAGTTTTCCTGTGGGGGTCTCTTTCAGGAGGAGATTGGTGGATTCTTTCAATTTCTATTTTGCCCTCTGGTTCTAAAATATCAGGGCAGTTTTCCTGGATAATTTCTTGAAAGATGATGTCTAGGCTCTTTTTTTGATCATGGCTTTCAGATAGTCCAATAATTTTTAAATTCTCTCTCCTGGATCTATTTTCCAGGTCAGTTGTTTTTCCAATGAGATATTTCACATTGTTTTCTAATTTTTCATTCTTTTGGATTTGTTTTACAGTGTCTTGATTTCTCATAAAGTCACTAGCTTCTAATTGCTGTATTCTAATTTTTAAGGAAGTATTTTCTTCAGTAAGCTTTTGGACTTCCTTTTCCATTTGGCCAATTTTGCTTTTTAGGGCATTCTTCCCCTCATTGGCTTTTTGGACCTCTTTTGCCATTTGGTTTAGGCTATTTTTTAAGGTGTTATTTTCTTCAGTATTTTTTTGGGTCTCCTTTAGCAAGCTGTTGACTTGTTTTTCATGATTTTCTTGCATCACTCTCATTTCTCTTCCCAGTTTTCCCTCTACTTCTCTTACTTGCTTCTCAAAATCCTTTTTGAGCTCTTCCAAGGCCTGGGACTGATTCATATTTTTCTTGGAGGCTTTGGATGAAGGAGCTTTGACTTTGTTATCTTCTTCTGGTTGTATGTTTGATCTTCTTTGTTACCAAAAAAAGATTGTATATGGTCTGACACTTCTTGCGAGGTTTGCTCATGATCCCAGCCAATTACTTGAGTTATAAACTCTTTATTAAGGTAGAGGTCTGCTTCCAATGTGGAGAATGTACTGTCCCAAGCTTTGGGGGTTTGTACAGCTGTTTTCAGAGATACTTCTAGGGACCTGTAAATTTTCAGTTCTTCCAAGGTGCTATGATAAGGGGCAAGGTGTTAACTCCTTTCCTGGCCTGTGCTCTGGGCTATGAATGACCAAAAGCACTCTTTTCTGCCCTGGAACTGTGACCAAGGTCCCCACTCCTCTGGGCCACAGGTTCTGGCGTGCTAGTACTCCTTGCTCTGGGACTGTGACCCAGGACTGCAATCCAGATGTGAATATAAGCAATGAAACAGAGTCCTGCACCCACTTCCAGTAAATGGATCCCTGTAATCTCCTGCTGACCAATTGTTCAATCCCTCCTGTGTATGGGCTGGGGGCTCCAGAAGCAGCTGCTGCTGCCTTTTATTCAGCCACCTACCCCCAGACCTGGCATTGGTTTACTGGGACTCACCCTGTGCTGGAGTGAATTCCCCTTTCACCTTGTTGTGACAAGCCTTTCCTGCCAACTTTCTAAGTTGTCTTGGGCTGAAAAATTGTTTCACCCTGTCATTTTGTGGTTACTGTCACTCCAGAATTTGTTCTGAGGCATTATTTTAAAAATTTTGGAAGCAAATTTAGGAGAGTGGAGGCAAATACCTGCCTTTTCTCCACCATCTTGGCTCCACCTGTCCATTACTTTCTTAAGTCTAGGCAATCAACAAAACAATGAATCAATTTGCTGATTTCTATAAATATAAATCAATCAACCAATCAAATAAATCAAATGCCAATTTGCAGTATTTGCCAAGTCTCAAGATGTAAATTGTTCACACTGAAAATTTAACCATCAGCTTTCAAGAGCCTCTGAGAACTGGCTCCGGTATATCCAATTCAGTTCAATCCAATAAACTCTTATTAAAAGCCTACTACATGCCAGGCATTATGCTAAGAGCTGGGGATACAATTAAGAAAATGAAAGATGGCCCCTACCCTCAAGGAGCTTAGAGTCTAGTCATGAAAGATAACACACAAAGAGTAGCTGGAAAGGGGGAGGAGGGGGTTGCCAGGAGTTCCCTGGTTCAGGAGCATCTTAGTCTATGGATTTGAAACCAGGCA